TCACAGAAGAGGGACACCGAACCCATTTTACTTTATCTACTTTGTGTTCAGTGAGAAGTTTAGTCAGTTAACCTTTCCAACCTATGCTTACAATAAATATTACCAACCTCTGGTCTTTTAAAATCAAAGTACAATTGCATTTCAGCTCTGAGAAACTTTAAAGAGGTATTCATCTTAATGGCCACAGGCAATTGTACAGTAAGGGAAAATAAATTGGCAGAGAAAAATGCAGCAATGAGAAATAGATTCGTTTATGGATGTATGTCCCCACCAAAAGGCCAAGGTTTTTGACACTTCCTCTGCCGACTAATTGGTCTTTGTGGAATGTAGCATTATTCTGTGAAGTCTATCGAACATGTGAAGTAAATTCAAATATAGAAGCCAGAATACTCCCCTCCCCCCACAGACAAGGTCTTCCTCTGTCAGCAACACTCCAGTGTACAATGGTGCAGTCATAGGTTACTGCCATATCAAACTCCTGGATTCAGGTGATCCTCCCACCTCAGACTCCCGAGCAGCTAGGATTACAGGCACACACTACCACACCTGGCTAATTTTTAAAAAAATTTTTGTAAAGACAGGATCTCACTATGTTTCCTAGGTGGTCTCAATCCCCTGGCCTCAAGCTAACCTCCCACCTTAGCTTCCCAAAGTGCTGGGTTTACAGGTGTGAGGCATCATGCCCTGCCTAGTCCCAATAGTCTCAAAACAGAACTTTCCCTTCGAGTCACAGAGGTAATTTATGTCGACTGGGTCAAGACACAAAGGAGTGATTTGGTGGAAAGAATGCGGGAGGCAATGTGGTACCATGGTTAAGAGTTTGGATTGTGGAGTCAGACTGCCATTTACTCCCTATGTGTGACCCTGGACATAGCCTCTGTGATGGAGGTGATGGTTGCTGGCATTTCACAGGATAAGCAAGAGGTTTTTAAAAGATTAAATGCATGTGTGACTATGTAATACTTTGGAGCTAGTAATGTGTGCCTAGCACATAGTAATCTGAATAGATATCAGCTGATTTTATTACAAAAATAGCCAGGTCTCTCCATGACTAGAAAAAGACAAAGAATGGACATTGTCTTGACTTTTTTTTCTAAAGAGGGTTAGGAAGTATACTAAATTAAGTCTTCTGGATTCTCTTAAAAATAGGAAGCATTGGGCGGGGAAGCCATCAGTAGTTTTCACAGAATCCAGTAACTGTAGGTAGGGACAAAAGTTTTAAGTCAGCATCCAGTGGAAGCCAACACCCACTGCGTGACCTTCCTCCATCCAGGTTAAACAGACTGGAGTGGCATTCAATCAGAGCCAGCTTGATGGACATGTGACCTGAACACCTGCACAGGCCCCACCCTCGAGAGGGACTCATGTTTGGCTTAATGTCTGCTGTTGCCATCTTGAAATTCTTAATAATTTTATCTTTGAACTTGTGTTTGTAAGGATACTCTGTGGAACAGGGGAGCATGTATTTGAGCAGAGGAAATAGGAAAGGGAGAATGCTTTATATTTCAGTACCTTCAATGGCCCTTTTTTTCTATTTTTTGAGCAAAAGAGTCCCACATTTTTACTTTGCACTAGGCCCTGAAAATTACATGGCCAGTCTATGTACAGACTAAAGAACTTTTCTTTTTGCCTGCTCTTCTAGGCCAGGTTGCCATTTTGAAATCTGATGGTTAAACTGGAATTCAGTAGTGACCTAACAACTCGAGGTGAACCGAGGGTTATGGTGGGAAGCCAGAAGCACAGCTGCAGGCCTGGTGGAAAGGAAAAGCGATTCAGTTTGCGATCAGATGAGGGCTGTCAGGGCAGCCTCCAACGGCTTGAATTCTGTCCAGCTGATGTGGTCTGGAAGCATTGACTGCCCTACAGTCTGAGTCATATTACAAGCCTTATGAGCTGAGCATCTTTAGGTAGCGACAGGGGTTCAGACAGATGGGGTTGGTGCTTACTGAATAGGCCAGGAAGTATCATGGTGATGCAGAGTGGGGTACCCACTGGGCATTGAGCTCAGGGTCTCTTTGTAGCTTAGTGTTAAAGCTTCTCATTTTAGAACACTTTTGGCTTTCAGCAGAAATCTATCTCATCCCCATGACCAAGTATGATGAATGCCCAAAGAGATTTATAGCACGATTAGCTGTAAATAATAAATTAATGGTCATGCTTTTTGCCTATGTTGCTAATCACCAATAATGCTTGTTACTGTTCATTGTGACAATAATAGCAGTGGGAGCTGTAAAATGGAAATTAAGAGATTTGACTTCTAGTCCAACTTGGTCACAATTCACTGGAATAAAATAGGCAAGATCTTGAGTTTCTCCTCAGTTTTCTTATCTGTGAAATGGTAACCATAATAACTGCTTTACTATTTACCTGTGTAGTAGAAAATACAGTGTCTATCTTGCTTCCTTTGCCCAGGGTTGGACCCTCAATAGGTGCTTGATAAATATTGCTGGTTGGATGACACAGCTGATATATGATTCCAGATGAATAGGAGGAATAAGTTCTTGTATTCTGTAGCATAGTAGATAACTATAGTTGACAATAATTTATTGCATATTTTCAAATGGCTAGAAGAGAGGATTTTGAATGTTTCCAACACAAAGTAATGATAAATATTTGAGGTAATAGATATGCTAATTACCCTTACTTGGCCATTACCCATTGTATACATGTATTGAAACAGCACTCTGTACCCCATGAATATGTACAATTATTATCTGTCAATTAAACATTAAATAAAAGAATAAAAATGGATAAGTGATTATCACTATTATTAGACTATATCTCTTTATTTGGGAAGAGAAGGTAGCCAAGGTCGTGTTCTCGTCTTTTCCAAGCCTGCGACCATTTACACTTTACAACTACACTGTGGAATGAGTTGACTGTAGTTGAGGAAATTGAGGTACAGAGACATTAATTAATTTGCCCCAAATCTCATAGTCCATAAGTGCTGGACTAAAAATGAACAAAAACGTCTGGTTCAAAACCCTTGCCTTTCATCAACAAGCAATTAGAGCTCTTACAATGTTGCAGCAACTGTTCTCATCAAAAAATACTTTTAGAGATTCAGATACCTATTCCCAAAATGCTTTCCACAAAGGCAGTGACTATCCTTCTACCATCTGGGAATGAGACTGCAAATCAAGGGATTCCTTGCCTGCATTCAATAACATTATTCACTCTTTCTTCTGGCTTATTTTGTCATCGTTGTGTTCATGGGTATTTCTTTGACTACCAGTGGGCTCAAACATTTTATCCTGTGTATGTTGGCTCGCTGCAATTGCTGATGACCAGTTAGGAGGTTCTATCTGTACATCAAACATTTTGCTGCTATGTTTGAATCTTGTCACTTTTTGTCCTGTCTCATGGCCTCTTCTGTGTCCTCTCCCTATTTTTATTATGACTCATGTTTTCTCAATAGTTTTTATGCATTCCGATCTCCATAGATCTGGGTTTCCCTCATCTCAACTGTTTTGGTCAACTCTCACTAGATTCCCTGTGTCCCATCTATCCCAAGGAAATAATCAGAGATGAAATAAGCCCAATTTCAATAATAGAACAGTGGTTAAATAAATTATGATGCATCCATAAGATGTAATATTATAGGATCATTAAAACAATATTTTAATGAGTACTTTATAACATGGAAATTGGTCCTCTTAAAAAACCAAAAATAAAAAGTTTACTATACAAGATTATGTCTTGTAGTTATGTCTTTCCTAGTTCTGTAAAAGAGTATATATTTGGCATTATTTGTTTATTCAACAAATATTGATTAAGTGCCTTATGTGTCACTAAGTTCTAGGCATGCAATATAAACAAAACACACACAGTCTCTGTGCTCATGGAGCTTACAGAATATTAGGGGATTCTGCTATTAAATAATCATACAAGTCAATGATGACAAATCCAAGGATTGCTAGGACACAAAATTAAATAATATGCTAAAGACAATTTAATACTGGAGCCCAATTTAGTTTGAATGATCAAGGGACATGTTCTCTGGGAAAGTGACATTTAAGCTGAGCTCTAAAGATGTTGCCCAGTGAAGGGTAGGGTGGGAGGAACATTGCCAACAGAGGGACCCATGTGTGCAAAAGGCTGGAGGTGGCAGAGCCAGAGACCCATGAGGCTGGAGCAGATAAGAGAGTGTCCATAGTGAGCAGTACAGATTGTCCTCTGGGTGCAATAAATCAGGTGCCAAGGAAGGGTTTAAGGCAGGGGCGCCATGCAATCCAGTTGACACTTCTGGAATATCACTATGATTGCAGGTGCAGAATGAATGGAGATGAATTGTCTGTAAGAATAATGATGAGTGAATGGAGAGGCCATACCTGAGGGGCCTACCAGAGGTTCATGTGAGCCATGCCTGGTGCTCTATCCAGATGCTGGGGAAGCCATGCTCCCATCTGGGAAGAACTGAGACTTAGATGTACACAGACATTGGACAGGGAATAGCATCTCCCACATCCTTATCCTTCTGCCTTCCAGGTCTCTCTTTGACAGGATGAAGCTCCACTTATCCCTTTATTCAGCATATCTTTGTGTGCATGTGGAAACAGAGCTCCCCACCTCCCCATCCCTACTGCTGAAGTCTCATTTTCAAGTCAGGTATTAGCTCGAACCAAAATTAGCCCCATCCCAAAATCTAGAACCGCTGTTTCCAAGAAAAAGGAATTCAAAAGATGCAACAAAATATTAGTGGTTGCCCTGGAATCATTTGCAGGTATATCTCACCAACTTGATTTCATGCTAATTCCAAGTGATTCCTTACAGTGCTCTGTGAAGACCCATGGCAACTTTCTGAGCATCTGTCTTGCATTTTCCTAGCAAGTTAATTAACACTTTTGTCACTCTGGCAGCTTTGGAGGGGAGGAGAGAAGGATGTGACAGCCCATGCTGCCTCAGGTTAACCCTGCATTCACCCAAGCTGGGAAGGAAGGGAAATGTTCAGTGTTGTCAAGGTGGACAGGATATACTGACCTCTCTGATTCTGTCTGCAGCTGGGGCACCCAGGGCGACTTCTCTACAACCCACGCACTGCCTGCTGTGAAGGTGAAGCTGTTCACAGAGAGCACAGGTGTCCTGGCCTTGGAAGACAAGGAGCTTGGGCGGGTAAGTTCTCCCCATCACTAGGGATATCTAACAGAACTCCAGAGAGGTGATGTCCCGATCTGGGTTCCCAGTGCATGAGTCACCAAGAGGCAGCATTGCCAAGTGCTAAGAGGCCAACTTTAGAGTTTAAATCCTGGACTCCACCCTCCATTAGCTGTGTGACCTTCAGCAAGTTCCTCAATATCTCTGAGCCTCAAGTTCTCTTTTATAAACCTGGGCTAACAAAACTGTACACTTCAGAAAATAGGAGTTCTCAACACCATCAGACCCAAACATCCTTTGTAACAAAGACTTGTAATGCCCTTTCCTGTCTTGTTTGTTTGTTTGCTTGAGTCGGGGTCTCACTCTGTTGCCCAGGCTGGAGTACAGTGGCATACTTATGGCCACCGTAGTCTCAACCCACTGGGCTCCCACAATCCTCCCGCCTCAGCCTTCCAAGTAGCTGGAACTTCAGGCCCATACCATCATGCCCAGCTAATTTTTTTTAAAAATATATTTACTGTAGAAACGAAGACTTGCCAAGTTATACAAGCTGGTCTCAAACCCCTGGGCTTAGGCAACCCTCTCATCCCCATCTCCTAAAGTGAGCCACTGTGCCCAGCCCCTTTACTGTCTTGAAGGGAAATTCTTAGGTGAATTAACTGCCTACCCACCTCACAGTGTTACGGTCAACACTGTAAAGAAAAGAAAAACAAAAAAATTAATTAATAGCAAAAAAACTCAAAATGTAAATACTCAAAGACCTAAAGAAGCAGTGTCTTGCTTGCTTCCATATGGAGAGTCACTGTGAGGGTGACAGCTACAAAATCCGTGGTGAGGTGTAGAGGAGTGCTGTGCTGGGAATGCCAAGGCCCAAGCTTTAGTAAGCCGATTTACTGAAATGGTAAGCAACTCTTGGGAAATTTGCCTTGATTTCCCTGGAAACATGCCAAAAAGACTTTGATTTTAAATGTAAGACAGTTAGGATCTGCACTCAGTTCATTATAAACAGCTTTTCCCGCCTCCACTAATATCCTGTGGGAATATTCAAAAGTCAGGTGGAATACAGGACCATGCCTCACTGGGGAGCAGCATCTCACTCCTGGTGGGATATTTAGCATCCCTGGCCCTCACTCACTCAATGCCAGCAAGAAGAAGAAGGCGAACAGGACATGTCCGTACTGACCTCTCTGATTCTGTCTGCAGTGTACATGTACCACTTTTTTATCAATAAATTTTATTTCATGTTGCTTGAATGCATAATCCATCCTGAAAGCTATGTGACTTTAGCCAAGCATTTAACCTCTCTGAGCCTTGGCTATATCACATAAATCACACACATCAATCAAAATGTCCTCAAAATTTCTGAAACACCCTGAGGGTTGGTACCAACCCCTGTGAGAATCACTAAGATAATAAATATCTCCTTGCATTTCAGCCATTGACTTTGCACCAAGCAGCAAGTAGTACTTTCAGAAGTTGAGTTTTTGTCAATTTCTCACCTTGCTTCTAAGATCCCACACTGCTTATGATACATTCTGAACTTTTTAGCAGGGCCTCCAAATGCTTGTATATTCGTCTTCAGCTCACCTCATCACCCACCTGCTGCCACATTTCTCCTTGTCCATAGTTGGCCAAATTTCAGTCCATCAGATAAACCAAATTCTTTTCCTCCTCAGGGGGCTTTCTGTGTGCCTGGAACCCTCTTCCCACTTTCCAACCCTTCAGAAAGCATAAATGTCGTCTCTGTGGAAATGCCACCTCCTTGGAGAACCCTTCTCTGACTACCCACCCTCATTCATTCGCTTTCTCAGCCCCCTGTTTACATTCTCCACTGAACTTATCACCAAGGAGATAAAGAGAAGGAGAACTGATGAAAATTTTGGTTTCTTTTCCCCCCATTAGACTACAAAAACTTCATGGGGATAGAAACCTAAACTATTTTATTCATTACTTGATTTCGAGAGCCCAGCACATAGACTTCCTTTCTTTTTTATTTTTATTTTTTTATTTTAAAGAGTACAATTCAGGGTTAGGTATACAAATGTTCATTATGCAGGTACTCTTGTTGATGAGGTGTGCCCCCCCTCCCTGGCAGTTTCCCACTACTGCCAATCCCTTTCTTATAGTATTATGATATTGTTCAAGGTCCACTTTTGGGTGAGAACATATGGTACTCTGATCTTTGTTTCTATGCTAGATCACTGAGTATGATAGACTCTAAATCCATCCAAGTTGCTGCGAAGTCCATATGTTTGTCCTTCTTTAAGGCTGCATAATATTCCATTGTGTACATGTATCACTTTTTTATCAATAAATTTTATTTCATGCTGGTTGAATGAATAATCCATCCTGAAAGCTATGTGATCTTAGCCAAGACATTTAACCTCTCTGAGCCTAGGCTATATCAAATAAAATATAACAAGAGACCACTCCTCAGACAAGCACACAAGCACACACATCTAACAACGCCAGCAAGCACTCACTCACTTCCTATGCTTTCTTTTTTCTTGTCCTCCCTCCACCCCCCCCCCCTTTTTCCCAGTCTGGTTTTCTTGTATAGAATTGATTCAGAATCTTATTACTAGGACATAGACCACAGATAAAGGTAAAAACAAGAAGTGAATAAGGCAAATAACAAAACAGAAAGGCTTGGGTGGGAGGGCAGGGGCAATGAAAGAAAACAGAAGGTTTAACCGTTTTCTTTAAGAGATGACAGCTATGCATTTCTGTCCCTAGAGAAATAAGCCCACACACAGAGTGGGGAAAGAAGCCTGCCTTTCATTTTTCTTCACACTTTTCTTTTTCCAAGAGGGCAGACATCAAGAATCACAAAAGTCTCAGAGAACCAACATGTTGAAAGAAGAGACAAGTATTAACTGACCAAACCAGGAATGCTCAATCTTGGTTCATGCATGGTCTTTCCAGGACCCAAGATCCCCTGGAAATAATTTGCAAATGTGGAGAGGAGTGAGGTGGCCTTTATACATTTTTCTGGACTGGCTAGGCCAAAGCATTCACCAGCTTCTCAAAGCTGTTTCCACTCAGAAAGTTAAAACCACTGGGCTATTCAAATCCTTTGTTTTATACATGAGAAAGCTTATTCCCATGAAAGGCAGGAGAATTCCTCAGAGTCACCCAGTCAGTCAGGAGGCCATGCACTGACCAAGCCACTGTCCTGAGGACTTCATGCACAGTTCCCCACTGCTCCTTGACAACAAGGTCACTGAGGCAAGCACAGTCATGACCTCTCTTGTACAGATGAGCAGGCTGAGGCCCAGGGGTGTCACTTGCCAGGAATGGTGTCAACTCATTTCCAGGGCTACTTGCACTCCATTATGTTGTCCCTGTGCAAAAATAAAACCGTGGGTTCTGCTGTGGTGGTGAAGGCCATGAACTTGCCAAAGCCCCACATAGCCATTCTTTTCATAATGACTCATTCCCTCCTCCAGCCCCATCATACATTTCCCCAGATACTAGTTTACTCCCCCTTGATGCCAAAGAAATTTCCCACCAATTGCAGTGAAGCAGGCCTGCCTGGCCCTGCTGGCAGCTCTTCATGGGCAGCAGCTGGGTGACCCAACAGTGCAGTCTTTAATGTGACCCCCACAAGAGAATGTTTCTATTCCCTGATTCTTCCCAAGCTTAGCAGAACCACATTCAAAATCCTGGTGTCACGTTCATTCATTCAATCATTTCTTAGTTTGTTTCATTTGTGTTATATTTTGTTTTTATTAACCTTTTTCATTGAAAAAAAATAATTTTTTAAAAAATTAGTTGGATAGATAGTAAAAAAAAAAACCTAATGATCTCTTTCTCCTTACACTGGTATCCCTTCCCAGAGAAAAATGTTTTCGATTTACAGTGTATCTTTCCTAAAATATTTTTTGCATGTTCAAACTTAGTATATTTAAGCATATGATTAAGTATATAGTAACTTCCAGTGTGGTTTTTTTTAAGGAAGGAAGGAAGGTGGAAAGAAAGAAAGAAAGAAGAGTTACTATGCACATACTGCTCTACATATTGCTTGAAATATCAGTGTATTTGAAGATTAACTCATATCAGCTCAAACTGGCCTGCCTTCTTTTTACATAGCTGCATAGTATTTCACTGTGTAAATATAGCATATTTTATTTAACAAGACCTCTATTGATGAGATTTTAGATTACTTCATCTTTGGCTATATAAACAGTGCTTCAGTAAATAGCCTGGAATTTATTTATTTTCATAAAGGTGTATACTTATATGATAAATTTCAAAAACAAATTTTTGCTTACTGAAATTTGAATTTTGACAGATTCAGTCAAAGTGTCCCCTAAAGAGCATACGCGAATTGATACTTCCACAAAAGACATAAGAGAGTACCTGGTTCCCCACATCCTTGCCAACACTGCAATATTATCAAACTTCTATTCAATGAATAGGATGGCAGATGTAATCATTTGTGCTGGGCAAAAAGCAAACAGGAATAATGACAGGCAAATAATCTTTAACCTCACAAAGCTTAAGAAGTACAGACGGAAAACTAGAAATTATAATGCAGCCTGATAACTGCTCTGTTAGAGAAAGGACACCTAGGAAGGAGGCATAAAGCCAGAGGGAGAACCCAGTCTGAAGGGCAGGGCTGCCTTCTCCTGTCCCCGAGGATGCAAGAGTAGGAAGAGAGACACAGGCTCAGTTATGGAGGGGACCCGCCAGGTAAAGGCCCAGGGTAAAGCAGTCCCAAACGGGCCCCGCCTGTGTGCCCAGGCAACTAAGAGAAGCAGCTGCTGGCTGGAGTGCTGCCCACTGCAGGGGGTGGGTCGTGTGGCCACATCAGCATCCCCACATCAAAGCACAGCACACATGGGCCTGGAAGAGATGACAAAGTGCTTGATTAGCAGCCTGGAATGTCCAGATGAGGCGTCTGGTGTGCGTGGGGCTCATGTGCACCCAGAAGTACCCTCATAATTCAGCAGGACTGACACATACAAAGGAGTCATCGGCCTGTCAGGGGCATGGCAGGGTGGGGACGGAAGCAGAATAGAACCAAGGTCACTTTATCTCTGCATCCACCCTGGAGAGGAGGTCTCCCCAGCTAGTGACCGCATAGGGGAAGAAGTCTTTGTGCAGTGGCCAGTAATGAGCTGCAGCCATTTGCCTCACGAATGGACACCATATTGCCAGTGGGAAGCACGCCCAGAATCCATATGGTGGAAGGCCTGCTAACGAGCTCCGGGTGCCCAGAGTGCTGCTCCTACTTTGATTTTGCCAAACAGGCAGTAGCAGAAGGAAGCCCAGGACCTTTCCTGCTGCTGTTCTGTCGCTGGCTGGGGTTTCTCTTACCAGTCCCTTCCTGGCCTCCCAGCACGTCACACCGCTTCCCTTCTTAGGCCAAACAAGCTCAGAATGGAGGGTCAGCTTCACTGGAATCCTCAGCTCCCTCCTCTCCATCTCCCAAAGAGTTGGGCCAGGATGTCACATGGGATACAGGGTGACATACAGGAACAGGCATTTCCTTGAGGGAACAGGGTGATCTCTACAACCCAGTGACACCCTGACTTACTCCTTTACACCTTGCATCTAGTCTATGACATGTCATGGTTCACTGGTGCCAGTTAAGAGAATTTATATGTTTTATGCCATAGTTTTAATGAAATGAACCTCACCAAATAAACACATGGCCTAAGAAAATAACTACCAAAGAACTCTAATTTAAAGGTAAAGCAAGCCTAGAATACAACAAGAAAATGATGGGCTGATATCTAATGTACCAGCAGACGCTCTGTCACCTATATCATGAGATGAAAATAATGCCAGTGTCATCAGACAGGACAAGGCATCAGTTAAGACATTATGGAATTATTTAGAAGACTACGTGAACTGAAGATTTACAACAAGTATCATAAACAATGCACCTTGCCCTAAATATATGTGGTACCTTAAACATAGCTAATAATAGTACACAGTCACCACAATGAGCAAGGTGTTTAAAAATATAGTTTTTTAAATCTTCAAGCTGTCCTTTACTTGTGCATATTGTGATATATATAAGGTAACATAGTAATACAAAGTAAAGATACATAATGTAAAATGTTTGCATACAGGTATTGGGCTAATTGCTCAAAAATATTTTACTAAAACATGGCATGATCAAAAAAATGTTGTCAACCTCTGGTCTGAAAATTCAGACCTTTCTGAATTTCAATCATGTCATAAGACATCAGGAAGACTCAAATTTGATGTTTAGCAAGAATGCACATTCCATCAGAGAGGAAATTGAATGAAAAAGAAGGGTCAGGCTCAGAATCGAAAGGAATGAGAAGTCAGCACAAATGAGGCACGTCTAAGTGGGCTGATTTCCTTTTCCTGCCACAGCTTCCTACTTTCCTCGGAGCTCTTGGTCCTTAGTCACACAAGAAAGCCATATGCGTCTACCCCCCCACCAAGCATGGGTCAGGTTCTCATGACTAGTGAAAATGATACAGCATCTAGAAGGCCAGAGTGTCCACTTCTGAGACTCCTGGCCACATCCAGAGGAGAAAAAAACCCAGGCAAGGAGCCCGCCTTCTGTGCACCTGGAGAAAATAAATGCTTTGAAAACAGCCAATGCGATGTGCAACAAACCAGGGCATGCTGCCATCGCAGAAGCAAATCTTAGCAAGCCCAGCTTTTGTTGTGCCTATATTTAGTTCATGTTCCCTTAGTTTAGGGGATTTTCCAAATATTTCATTCTCCCGGAGTACATGTTCCCCAGATCCCATGTGGTTCCCGAGAGTCCGTCATCACAAAATGAAAAAGTGGATTTACTGAGCTACCCACTTCTAGAGGCACTCCCAGCATCTGAGACAATGAGAAATGAGGCAGAAGACTTGGGTCAAAGTGCCATCTCTGAAGGACCCTGGTGAAAGGCATTTTTTTTTTTTTTTTGAGTTGGAGTCTCACTCTGTCGCCCTGACTGGAGTGCAGTGGCCGCTCCCGGCCACCGCAGCCTCGACCTGCTGGGCTCCGGCGATCCTTCCGCCTCAGCCTTCCGAGTAGCCAGAATTACAGGCATGCGCTACCATGCCCAGCTGATTTTTTGATTTTATTGTAGAGATGAGGTCTTGCTGCCCAGGCGGGTCTCGAACCCACGGGCTCAGGCAATCCACTCACCTCAGCCTCCCAAAGGCGTGGGATTACAGGCTGAGCCACCGAGCCCGGCGGGAAAGGCATTTTTTAAGAGCTGCTCCTTCTTCGAGCTGTGTGTGAATTCTTCCATAGTGGACAAAGTTGGGTGTTATGTGATAAGACTTCTAGTCTAGGTGAAATCGGGTTGAAATGTGTGACTCTAAGAAAGTACCTTCTCTTCTCTAAGTCTCACACGTCTCACCCATCTAATAAAGTCCCTTTCATCTTCCCCAGCGGCTTTTAAGGAATTTCTCTTCCTGAAATAGCAAAAGAAATCCTAAAGGATGGGGGAAAAAAGAGTGGATTAGAAAGACTCTCTAATATGTAAGGATATGTCTTCCTTTTATCATGTATCTTCTTGTTTGAAGACAAAGTGAATAATGTGTAGACAACATTCTCTGTTCTGAGTTTCTTGGTACTTCTGAACTTTAGAAAAGGCAAAGCAAAATCACAGAAACTTTGACCCTTACTTTTACAAAATTAACCAGGAAGAGAGAGAAGGAACAAGAGAATGTATTTCTGCCCTTGGTCATGGCTACTCAGCAGGAGCCGGCCACGCTGAGTAGATGGGACCTGGCCGGTGGGACCTGCTCCACTTCACAGCATCAAGAGTCTCTAATCTACAAAAGCATAATAACAACATCATGGTGTTTCTACTTTCTGGCTAAGATGTTTGTCCTTTGCCCCTACAGGTTATTCTCCATCCCACCCCAAACAGCCCCAAACAGTCAGAGTGGCACAAAATGGCAGTCTCCAAAAACTGCCCTGATCAAGACCTCAAAATCAAACTTGCTGTCCGAATGGATAAGCCTCAAAACATGAAGCATTCTGGGTAAGTAGTTTGTCCCCCATGGCAGTTTTGAACACACATTCATTCATTTCTCAACACAAAAATCAAATCAAAAACAAGATCCTCAGAGAACTATGTGGAAGGAAATAAAAAAGAGAAGTTATTGAAATATTTGACTTTTATATTTACTGTCATCTTCCTCAATTCTTATGATTACTAAATTTGCATTTTTGCTGTCAGGATAGAGCAACTTCTTTCTGTTTCTCTAATACTAATAGGATTTCCAATACAATTCAAAGCTTTTTTAGAAGCATGCTAGGTGATTCTGGTTTGGGGAGGTTCTATAGACTCCGTGTGTCTGTCAGAGGCATTCAGAATATTCAGACTCTACAAATCATTCACTTGTACCTTAATCAACAACCATATCTGTGAGGTGTGAGCAGTGGGCACAGGCCACCTTCAAATAATCAATTCACGTTGAATATATTTTAGTGCTTAGTGTAGCATTTAAGTGAGCAAAAAATAGAAAATATTATACTCCTTTTTGTAAGGTTTGAGAAAAATGATCAAGTAAGTAATTTTAAGTACAGCAAAAAGAATAGGTAAAATATAGTTTTATTTTACAGATCAAACCAGTGATTTGTATATAGAATGTTTATTGATAAGTGAATATATGCCTATTAAATTAAATCACATGGACCCTGTTACCTCAGAAAATGTGATCATCATTTAACTCTGAAAAGGGGAACGTCAACTAGCTGAAGGGAATGGAGTGTTTTTCAAGTATTCTGCAGTTCCCTTGCCAACCATCATTCTGCCTAGCCCTTCTGATCACTAGAAAGGTCTCGTGAATTTTCTTTAGGGTATACGTGCACTTATGATAGGGCTTAAAGTGCTAAAACTGTCATTAAATGTGAGGATTGGCTATATGTACTACAGGTTTGGGGAATTCAGAAACCCAGTATCAGAGCCTAGCCATGACTATGACAGGTTTAAACAGAAACCCATGAGAAGACCAGGAGGACGTGACCAGGACAGGAAATGGACATCCCAGTGAAGGAGCACACTACAACAGCATGCAGTCAGAATAAAGAACAGAGTTTTGGTGCCTCAGAGTTCTAGGAAGCAAAGACAACCCAAGGTTCCAGGGATAAATACCTACCAGTCAGGGCACCAGAGACTTCAAGTATGGAGGGCTCCGGAGACAGCAGAGGCCACTTATGAGCTGACTTGGTTTTGGAGAATTTGCATTGCATTGCCTTAAAGCAAAATTATTTGGAGTCTGAGATGGGATTATGACAAAATTCTTCTGCCTGAGGACATGAAAAGACCATGGGGGACTAAACTGGGCCCTAAGTACACACTCAGTCCTTTGTCATCCATCCATGATGAACAATCAGCTTTCCTCATAAATCAGCATCTTATGACATGTTTCTAAGGTCAACCTTTCTTCCTTCTCATCATACTCCTGGCATATGTTCCAAAAATGTTAAAGGAATTTCTCCCTAATATCTCTTCCCCCAATAGTAAAAATCCTAGTTTCAAGACGAAAGGGCTGAGAATTCTATTAAGTTCCTACAGTACGCAATAAAAGATTCTCATCTTTAGCAAAATACTGCCTCATAAATATTCAGTAAATATTGGCTAAAAGAACAAGTACATGAGTGAGCAGCATGGAGGCAGGAGGAAAGAGAGAAACCAGGAGGAGAGGGCAGATCAAAGAGAGAAAATACGAAAGGAACAAGAATCTGAATGAATGTATCTGTCCTCTAAAGTGCCTTTTTATAAAAACTTCCTTAAAAGGACCTCAACCCACAATCAAGACCTCTTTGAAACACTACACTAGAAGCATTGCGCTCATTTATTCCCCACAGCAAACACTTGACATAGTTATTATTTTTCCCATTGGGCAAATTCCCATTTCCCACATTTTCTTTCTTCACTCAAATGGAAACTGAACTAACTGATTTGGATTGAAGAATTTTTCTGTGGATTCATTTGTAAAATTATTAACATATTTCAGGCTACTTTGACCTTGCAGATAACAGAGGAAATATGTAACTCACTTCTGACAGGTTTCATAGCTATTTTATGTCAATAGACTGCCATTTAAAAATTACCCCTGTCAGGAAATACACCAAGAGAGCTTAAAATAACTCTGGAAAGTGAACAATGGATGCCTTAATAACACCATCAGACCAAATGTGACCTAAATCAGGGATGAGCAACTTTAGTTGCATAAGGAATTATTCAGGGAAAATGAAAATAATATTGACTACATTTTTTTTTCATTTAAATTTAAAATAGTCTTATTGAGCCCCATGGTGTGGAAAAGGATGGAAATATGAAAGCAATGTCATACCTTAAAGGCTGAGAGATAGAAAGGAATTTTTAAGAATCATGGCTGTGGTTGCGTGCTTTCATTTTAATGTTTTTCAAGCATAAAAGGAACATCAGAATCACAGGGAATTGTGCCTGTTGGTATGTACTATGGCCTTGAATGAGCCACTGGGTCATTTAGAATAACATTCTTTACTGAATAGAAAAATGTCAATGAGAAAAATCAACACTGCTTCTTGAGCCTCACTGTGTGGGGCCTTAAAACAATAGTATCTGGTCATATTTGAGAATTAGCAATTCCTGGGTAGCTTTCTAACTTTTCCTCTTTTATATCCATATGGTGTTTTCAAATTCAGGAAGTACATTCACATCCATTGTCTCATTTGATCACTGACATATTCCCATCTTAATACTCTCCCTTTACCCAGCTGCCCAGACCAAGAACCTTGGGATCATCTTTGACATTTCTCCTTCTTTCTCATCCCTTCTCTCATCCACCACCAAGTTATTTTCACTCCACCTTTAAGCTAAAGTTGGAGATCAACCCCTCGCCCCCACCTCCATCTCCATTTCACCATTGGCCTCCAGGCCTTGGTCACTGCTCCCCTTCACTCCCCTTCACTTGTTGCTCCTGCCTCATAAGCAGTCTCCCTACTTCCACCCTGGCCTCCCTGTCATCTATTTCCTACCCTGAATCAAGAGGAATTTTTTTTATCATGGGTCAGATCCTGCCATTCAAATGCTGGAAAATCTTCAATGATTCCCCATCTCATTCAGAGTAAACTCCAATTTTTGTCACCATGACTTTGAGGCCCTACCTATCTGACTTTGATCACTGCTGCAGCCTCACTGGCCTCCTTGCTCTTCCTCAAAGACACCAAGTATGCCTCTACCTCAAGGTCCTTGTCCCTGATGCTTCCTCTGCCTTGGATGTCCTCTTCCTTTCACCCAGATGTCCACATGGCTCACCTTGATCTCTGCACATCTCTATACCTTGTCAGAAAACCTTACCTGGCCCAATTGTGTCCTCCCTGTCTCTCTTACTCTGCTTTATTTTCCACTAGACCACTTATTGTTACCACATGTATCATGTACTTCTCTGTCTGTTTTCTACACTATACTGTAAGTTTCTTGTCAGAAGGACATTTTCCCCTTTGTTCATTCACAGTGCCTTTGTACAGGGCCTGATATGTAGCAAAAATCCAATAAATTATTTGTTGCATGAATGAATAAGGGAATGAATGAATCCCCACTTCACAGATGGAGAAACTGAGGTTTAAAATGGTGAACAGACTTACTTAAGTCAAAGTAAGCATCAGAGCTGGGACTAGAATTATTCTTTTCAGTTCACCCTTAACTGAGGACATGAAGCTTTACTCAATTATAGAGGTCTGCAAAGCTCCACTTTGAATTCATTCAATGAGCCACAATCCACCAACCAAGAGTAACTCACAGCAATTCCAATTTTTCTTTTATATTTTAACAAACCTCAAAGGGGATACAGTTTTTAACCCTCTGCCATCTTCTTGAAATTACTGTTCCTCTTCCATTTTCTTAGCTGTGCCACTGCTCTGGATCTCTTGTTCTTCAAAACCACCACAGTCCTCTCTTTTCCCCATAGGTTTCCATGGCACCACTCTTATTGGCTCAGACTCTGAAACCAAAATACTGAACTGGATTAACTGAATATTTTTAGGATTCCATGTTATCTCCCTTATTGACCAAAGGGAAGCCCTTTGCAAAATTGTTAATTATATGCTCTTTCTACTAGGACTACTATTTCTACTACTAGTAGTACTACTAGTAACAAGCACAACCACAACAACAACAATGCCTAACATTTACCCAGCCCTTATCATGTACCAGTTAGTGTGCTAAACATATCAGCTTTGGGTCCTCACAACAACCTTATGAAGTAGCTATTATGCTATCCCCATTTCACAGCTGATAAAAGAAAAACCTTAGACAAATTAAATTGAACAAAGTTTAATGGAGCAAAGAGCGATTCACAAATTGGGCAGCCCTTGAGCCAGGAAAGGTTCAGACAACACAGCTGCATGGTGGAAGAAGATTTGTGGACAGAAAAAGAAAAGTGACCTACAGAGAACATAAGTGAGGTACAGAAACAGCCGGATTGGTTACAGCTGGGTGTTTGCCTTACTTGAACCTGGGTCGAATTGTTGGCCACCTTTGATTGACTGAAACTCGATGATTGGCACAAGAGTAGGTTACAGTCTATTAGTTTACTGTGTACAGAGAAATCTCTAAAATATGTAAAGAGGAAGATTTAGGCTACAGTAAATTTAACACAGCTAAGGAAACTGAGGTACAGGGTGGCTAAGCCAAAGGAGAGTTAATGATGGCCAGAATTCCCACCAAGGTGTATCCCCCCTAATCTGAGATATAACCACTAGGCTAAACTGCTCTCCTCACACTAGAATGCTGATTTTTCTGTTGGTAAATCCAGATTTCCACATATCTGGACAGCCTGAGGAGAGTCGAGGGCCACTAATACCCACACAAGTAGCTCTGACAGTAGTGTGAGGAGCTAGAAGGAAAGCCACCTGTAAGTCTGCAGTAACAGAACGTCCATCTGCTCCAGGTACTGTGCATCCTATTTAATGAGCATGTTCCAACCAAAGAAAATACAGAGCTGGAGCTGACTAGACAGAAACAGTACATTGCAGCCCTCAGTTTTTCTTAGTTTTGACACCTTCTGGTATGTGCCAAATTAGCAATAAATTCTGAGGAAAACCTCAGAGGGATAGCCCCTCCTTCACACAAACTTTCAGAAGGAGAATTGTTAATTTTCCCCTGATCCCACCAGCTTTCCCATTCAGAAGCTTTTAACCAGAAGTCGCCTCTGTTCAATTACAATAGCAATTCATGTTCTTACTTCAAAAAAGAAACCAAAGTTTGTCATCCAGAATGGAGGAGGAGGAACACGGAGAAGAGGGTGCTTTATAATCGGACTGTTCTGAGTTTAAATTCTGGCTGTGTCCTTCACTAGCTGTGGAATCTAGGAAGGTTGCTTAAATTTTCTCAACCTTACCTCCCTCGGCTGTAAAACAGGAATAACGGAATCATGGCATAGCTAATAGTATTTACTTTGTGCCAGCTATTGTTCTAAGTACCTGTAGTTCTACTTTAATCCTCCCAATCCTTGAAATAGGTACTGTTATTAATATCTCCACTGTAAGGGTACAAATAAGTCTAGTAATTTGCCCAGGGTTGCATGTGAACTCAGGCACATGAACCCTTCAATCTCCAGATCCAAGCTCTTAACCTCTCGAGATAGGTATAATAAATTCACATAAAATACCTGGCACAGTACAGAGAACTGGCAAAACTTCACTAAGCAGAAGCTATTATTTTCATGATAAAGGAAAAGTTAATGATTCAGTATAAATTATACTCTATGAGTTCGAGTGAACTGTTTTCCCTGCTTCCATCCTCATCTATTAAAATTGTGTACTCTTTGGATGTTGTAGGTGTATTCATGATTTCAAATCTCTTTTTGTGGATGCAAGGTGAAGGGAAATGGGTGGTGCCTGCTAGATATAATTCCAGAAAAGTGTGAGACTATCACACCCTTCCCTTTATCTTGCATCCACAAAAAGAGATTTGAAATCATGAATACAGCTACAACATCTAACAAGTACACAATTTTAATAGACGAGGATGGAAGCAGGGAAAGTAGTTCACCAGAACTCATAGAGTACACAAAGTTTTTGCCTACTTCCTTCATTTGATCTTTCAGGTCATCTCTCTCCCTATGTACATAAGCCCAAGATTTCCCTTCACATATTTAGTTATTGTTTACTGCTAATAATGATACATTTTCCTCTGTCCTCAGAGAGATTTTATAATAAGGCTGACATGTATTAGGCATTCGCTTCCTGCCATGCCTCATGCTTATATGTCCCAAGCACTGTTTCATTAAATCCTCACAACAACCCTGTGAACAAGGAACCGTTACTGCCCTATCTTACAGAGCACCAAGAGGTTAAACAGCTTACTCAACATCTCAGAGTTAACTCACAGAACTAGAACTAGAAGATGATGCTCTTAAGTGTTACAGCCAGGAACCCCCTCTCTCCTTAGCCCTGGCCAAACCTTCCTTTGATGTTCATTTCTGCCATGAATACATTCACACATTATTTCAGGCATTGACCTGGACAGCTAGGTGTAACAACAAAGCAGACCATGCCGGCCTCTGCAGCAGCGCAAGGCTGATATTACCAGCCACCCACCCAGGCTCACTGCCTCAGCTTTAGTCAAGCCACTACCTCTGTTGCTTGCACCCCTGAGACCATCTCTTCTCTGATCTCTCTGTCTTCTCTCTTGCCCCTTCCACCTATGGTGTATTCTCTTCCCAGCAACCAGGGCAGTCATCTTAAATAGAAATATAATTGTCTCACACACACACACCCCTTAAAACCCTTCCATATTTTCCCAGCCTTATTTAGAATGAGTGTACTGGTGATCTGATTTACCCACTTAAGATATAACTCTAGCTGCTGTAGAATGAGCAGAGCATAGAGGCGAGAGTGAAAGCAAAGAGGGCTCTTGTCATGGTCTAGGTAGGAATGATGGCAGCTTGACTGGGGAGTAGCAGTGGGGATGGAAAGATGTAGCATATTTTGGAAGGAAAGCTCAAAGAACTTGGTGACGGATTGCATGTTTTTATGCAGTGCTTTAAAATCTCATCAGAAATCTTTATAAAGGTCACTCTGGTCTCTTAAGAACAGGCACTCAAAACCAATTGAAATATAACAAATAGCTATTGACCATTTACCATGTATCAGGAACCGATAGGAATTCAGAAAGAAGAACAAGATTCTAAGAATTTAGAAAGAAGAACCAGGGTTTCTTCCTTTCAGGCACCCACGGTTCAATAGGAACAATAAACATAAAGACAAATACATTTTAGCTGTGGGATAATTGTTACAGCAGAATTATCTACAAGGCCCAGGAGCTGACAACATCAAGGTAAGGATTTAAACTGAGGAAGAGTAAGACTTCTAACACAAGGAGCAGGAAAAAGGCATTCTGGGTAGCATAGGTTGTAAAAATTATGGAGGTGTGAACTTTATGGTGCAGTCAGGAATTACACATAACAAAATGTGTGGATGCTGAGTCTAGCAAGGTAGTCAGGGATGGAAAATGGAGGGTTATTTAGGCCAGGTCAAGATGCTGGACTTGGTCCCTGTAGGCTAAGATGTCCCCAAGCGTACTCATATCATTAAGAGTACACAAAGTAGTTTTAGTGGTATACAGACATGGATCAAACATAGTCAGGTCTCCATGTACACAGGTTCTGCATTCAAGGATTTGGACAACTCTGAATAGAAAATAGTTGGAAAGATCACAATACAAGAACAAAGATAATACAAACTTTAAAATACAGTATAACAACTATTTACATAGCATTGACATTGTTTTAGGTATCAGAAGCAATGTAGAGGTAATTTAAAATATACAGGAGGGTGTGGATAGGTTACATGCAAATACAACATCATTTCATATAAATGACTTGAGCTTCCATGGATTTTGATATCCGCAGGGATTCTGGAACCGATCCTCCATGGATATTAAGAAACAACTATAGTTATTTATGTATTTTAATGTATACTATACAGTATATGATTGGTATATCAAGTTTGTAATATAAAGTTTATTTGCAAAATACATTTATTCATGCTAAGTAAGTCAATTTAAAGAAGAATAATGATTGGTCATGGTGGCTCATGCCTGTAATCCCAGTAATTTGGAAGCCTGAAGTAGGAGAATCACTTGAGTCTAGGAGTTCAAGACCAGCCTAGGCAATGTAACAAGACTCTGTCTCTACAAAATTAAAAATGGTCTGGGCTCAATGACTCACACCTGTAATTCCAGCACTTGGGGAGGCTGAGGTGGGAAGATTGCATGAGCCCAGGAGTTTGAGGCCAGCTTGGGCAACATAGTGAGACCTTGTCTCTACAAAAAATTAGCTCATTGTGGTGGTGTACACCTATAGTCCCAGCTACTCAGTTGGCTGAGGCAGAAGTATCACCTGAGCCCAGGAGGTTGAGGCTGCAGTGAGCTGTGATCATGACACAACACTTCAGTCTGGGTGACAGGATGAGACTATGACTCAAAAAATAATAATACAATTAAATAAAATTTAAAAAATAAAAATATTAAGTAAATCATAGACTAGGTAGACAGATGTCACACCAATCATAAAAGTGAAACGTGAGAGGCCAAAATGTGGGATACCCTTAATGTAAACAGAGGAGACCCACTGAAAGTTTCAGCAGGGAAAAGACATAATAGAATTTGCAGATGGTAGGGTCTGTCTCATGGCTAGGAATAGGATGAAAGTCATTCTCGTGTCCTTGAAACCAATTAAGAGTTTCCTCTATAGTTTTCCACAGAAGTAAAAATGTGGGTGGGGACTGAAATAGTGGAAGTGGGAAGACGGAGCACAGTGAGGAACTCTCCAGGAGGTAAAAAAATTGACAGCACTTGGCGGCTGAGGAATAAGGATGGGAAAACAGAAGCACCCAGGATGACTTCTGGGTTTCTGGCTTGAAGGTTTGAGTAGATTTTTGGCTGCCAGCCACTCCTAAGAGCCTCTGAAATTCATTGAACGGTAAAAATTTTAATTAGATGCATGCTTCTTTATGTTCCAAAGCGGAAATCTGTCTGAGTCTAGGTGAAGTGAGAATTTGGAAATTGTCCAGTGGTTGTTGATGGCAGGTAAAGCCAGTTTTGGAACTTCAGCTCTTGTATTTGTGAATGACCAGATATCTCCTTCTTTTGTTTGGTAGAGCCTAAAAACCCCCACTCTGACTTCCTAGACCAATAGTAGTTCAACATATAACAGTCCACAAGGCAGGTGGGATAATTCATGAATGAATTAGTAATATTGATCTTAAAATCTCCAGACAGCTTTGAGCTATGCCTCTATAATTTTTAACCCTCCTTTTTATTTTATTTTTGTGTATAAAGATTAATTTCCATCAACAAAAGAGCACTTGGAGAAAGAGGGCGAGAATAAGGAGGACTTCTTATGTTGACTTGAAACTTCTTCCCTGTCATGTATCTGCATATGCTAGAATTAGAGCAAAAGGAAACAAGGGATGGTTTTTCTGAATGAAACTTGACAAGAGGTGAAAAAGTGAAAGTTGTGAGATTTAGCTTGCGCTCTCTCTCTCTTCCTCTCCCCTGTGCAACATCTTTCAAGAGTTTCCCAACCTAAAAGACTTTTATCACATATACAAATTAAGCTGCAGGGTAACAATTTCCAAGGTGCTTTCTGGAATCTGTCAAGGAATCTAGGTCAAGTCTGATGAGAGACCACAATTCCTCCTGTAAGTGGAAGTAAACCATGCCTGCTGTTGCTTGTGCTTAACCACCGAGCTCCAAAATCTGTGCTCTGATCCTGAGCCATGTGTATTTCCTTGTTGATGAGTACTGAGCTTCATGATAAAGTGTGTTAAACAATTCACTCATTCAAACATTAATGCAGCTCTGGCCTTTCTCTTTTCCCTTAGGTATTTATGGGCCATCGGTAAGAATGTCTGGAAGAGATGGAAGAAGAGGTTTTTTGTATTGGTGCAGGTAACTCTTCAACTCTAATATCAGTCTTAAGAGACATTAGCATTAGAGATTTGATAGTATAAATGAATACTTTTTAACTGAGATTTAATTTACAAAAAGTATGCAAAGCTCAAGCATTTAGTTCAATTAATTTTTACATATATCCTTGGAATCAGCATTCAGAAGATGCACAACATTTCTAGTACCCAGAGGGCTTCCTTGTGCTCTATTTCCTACTTTTATATAACATTAAATTTTAAAAAATGAATGTGCAAGCATTATTTTTTTTATTCTAACAATATAGAAGCATATAAGATAGGTCAGGGAGAGTAGACTTCCATGCCTGCCTAGTCCCTTGTCCAGAATGGAGAGAATAAGCCTGTTTCTGATTAGAACAGCATGGACATTCACATTTACTTAAAAGAATTTGGTATTTCTAAAAGCACTGAGATAGGCAGTATGGGAAAAGTCAGAATCCAGTTGGACTTTGTGACTCCATTGTATTATTTCGTATGTTTGATTTGTAATTATCTGTGGGGGAGCACACCACTCCTCTTGGTGCCTGGGGCTTCCAAAAGTCTTAACCCATCTCCTGTAACTATGTTTAATAGTCTGGAATATATCTTTCCAGATAATCTTTTTTTTTTAAACCAAAGCTAACCAAATTCTTTACATTGTTCTGTAGCTTGCTTTTTTTGCACAAGTTGCTTTAATATTTTTCCATGTTTGCCTATATAGCTCTGTCTCTAATATCAAGACTTTTTTAACTTTGTTGTACTTCAGGACTTCCCCAATTTGGGTTATTATTAACAATGCTACAAGGAACATCTGTGTATATTTAGGTGCAGATATAGATGCAGATGTTGATGTTGATATTAATACATTAGTAATATATAAATATCTTTACTCTCTTGAACGTTTCTTAAAATTTTTTCCAGAAGTAGTAATGTATGTCCTTGAAAAGCGCTCATGTGCGCTCTCGCTCGCTCTCTCGCTCTCTCTCTCTCTCTCTCTTTCTTTCTTTCTCTCTTTCTTTCTCCCTCTCTCTCCCACTTCCTTTCATCTTTCTCCTTCTCCTCTCCTCTCCTCTCTTCTCCTCTCCTCTCTTCTCCTCTCCTCTCCTCTCCTCTTCTCTCTCTCCTCCTTTTTCCTTTTTGGTTGTTTTGTTTTTGCATCAGAATTTTTCAGTTTTCAAAGGAATTAGCCATTGATGCTTTAATTTGCAGATTATTTAAACTATAATTCAATTTGCAAAATTTAATTTATGCTGTACTCTAAAAGACGTCACAAAGTAAGTTCGCTTGTAATTTAGTGACTAAAGGTGTTATTGAGTTACTTGACTAGTGTTTAGAGTGCTACCAATTCTGACACCTCACAATAAAGCAAATTCCTCTTAGCTCTAAATGATATTGATGGTTCTGCCAAGCCTGAAATTATGAAACTAGACCTTCTACAGGTCTACTCAAGTATCTGCTGTGCCACTAAGGCAAAATGCAACTCTCTGGCTACAACAAGAGGTTATTTTTGCTTTTATTATGCTATATAGTACAACAAAACATTAAAGTAAATTAGCCAGGTAAAATTCCAAGTAAAATTTTGGAATGAGGCCCATCTCTCAAAATAACTCATGGCTAAACAATGGAAGACATTTTAGCCTGAGATACATTTCTTCAGACTATCAACTGACCAATACTTATTGAGTACCTACTCCATGTAGGGCACATTGAGAGGACATAGAGAAGAACTATGAGGTCTTGTCTCCTGCTTCCAGAAAGTTATCTATTAAAATTCTATATATGTAAGCAGCACAAATAAACTCAAGCTAATTAAATGTTTTTAAATTAATGTATAAAAGGCTCTGAAATTAGCTCAGGATGGTTGAAAAAGCTGAATGACCCATCCTTGTTAAGGACAGGGCCCAGTTTCATTTCAGAAATCCAGGTGGTAGGAACTGTGGCCAGTGTCACTGGTATAATCATAGGACAAATTGGCTCTGACCATTTTGCATACTTGCACCACTCCACTTAAGTGAGGGTGGAGGTATCTCCAATTCAAAATCAGGATGCCATTACCAGAAGAACAAATGGATGCTGGACAGTCAAAAAGAGCTGGTGTCTACTCTAAATAAAGCACAATATGAATGGAGAGACAAGACACATCAAAAGAAGCAGTGCTGAGTCCTGGATGGTTCTTGCCCCTCCATGTTTCTCATTGTACTCAGCACAGCAGACTCTCTTAGAATCACCTGGGAGCATGCCTGGACTCCCAGACAGACAGTGCGCTGTTTCAGGGCCATTTCTGTTTCTGATTCTTCCTTGTATCCATCTGTCTTCCCCCACACACCCATACACAATTCCTAATCAAGAAATGTTTCATAGAAGAGAGAAGAAGAAGAGGGAGAGAGAGAGAGAGAGAGAGAAGCACAGGCAATGCCTCAAGTGGTTCTGAAAAAGGAGCGATTGTGTGCTCTGGAAAATGGCTGGTGGCAACTTCCCAGAGCAAATGGACAAGTGGTCCTTTCACCATGACATGGAGTCTCCCCTCCCACTCTGAGGTAGCCAGGGAATGTTCCTCTGGACACATGACTTTTATCTGAGCATCTATGAAATGACAAAGTACATAGAAGAAGTAGCTCACCTCTTATTTTGGGAGATATTTTAGGGGGAAACTTCAGGAAAAAAAGAGGAAATGTGCTTGAAAATATCAATGAAGACATGTCTGCACAATAACTACTGAAACAAAAAGAAGAGAATGGTGTTTTTTAGGCAACTCCAACACAGATGTTCTGGGGACTTCACACTGATACACCAATAGAAGATGAAAATTACATAGTAGCTAAAATGCAAGTTCTGTGCTCATAAAAGAGCAGAGCCTGGCTAAAGCTCAGCATCTTTCCTGGAAGGACAGGAGAGATTTCAGGATTTTGTGAGCACTCTCATGTTTGTGTGATCCTCATTAGCTTTTTTTTTTTTCTTTTTTTTGAGTTGGAGTCTCACTCAGTTGCCCGGTGCAGTGGCCGCTCCCAGCCACCTCAGCCTCGACCCGCTGGGCTCCGGCAATCCTTCCGCCTCAGCCTTCCAAGTAGCTGGAACTAGAGGCGCGTGATACCACGCCCAGCTGATTTTTTTTTGTTTATTGTAGAGATGAGTTCTCGCCAAGTTGCCCAGGCGGGTCTCGAACCTGCGGGCTCAGGCAATTCACTCACCTCGGCCTCCCAAAGCTCGGGATTACAGGCTGAGCCACAGAGCCCGGCCCTCATTAGCTTTAAAGAGCCATCATGGTGCATTGGGTACATCCATCCCCAAATTAAGCCTTCCGTTTGAACCTGAGTCAGATTCTTCCCTTAACAATCTCTGGGACCTGCAGAGGTGACTTGACAGCCCTACCTTCACAAAGGCAATGGGGATCCAGGATGAGAATGCAGGTCTTGCCCTATGCGTAACCATGTCTGAAAGCAATTTCCATAGCCTACCTAGAATATACTGCATTGTTTTTTAATTCTCCCCATTTTTTCCTCTTCCCTATTTAAGTGATCACACTTAGACACACATTATCAAAATTATATGGAAAATACCCACTTCCTTTGAAAGAACCCCCGGTGCCAAAATAGTTTCAAGGGAAAAGTTCAAGACCAGCAATACTAGCCCAATTCAGAGGAAGCAAAAATACCCCCAGGTTGTTTGAAGAAAAGGATGGCAGTGCAAACAGCTAAAATCAGCACCCAGCAGCGCATGCAATGTTGAATTTAGTCATACATACACACAATTTTCAGTTTCTTTGTAGCCACCAAACTCTTACACTGAAACTCAAAATGCATATGTGAAACCAGGAGAACCACTCTGGTCAAACTTGCAGAAGGATGAGGGAGCTGGGGAAGGAAGATGATCCTGCCCCTTCCCCCAGACAACCTTGGAGGAAATTCTGTAGAAAACAGTCTGGAAACCACCAAACAGAAAGCATATCTCCTCAAGTGACTTACCAAATCTTTGTTTCTTATATTTGGATGTGAGATCTTATAGAGTATATTTTATAGAGAGTTGGCAACACATAATTTCTTACTCAATCATGATTTACTACATTAGATTTAAAACAAGGAAAATTGTTTGAAAAACCTAAGAAGCGAGAACATTCAATATTAGTCTCCCCAAAACCCATCTCCTGCTCCACACATGTTCATAAAATCTACTTTTTTATTTGTGACACAAAACTATTAAAATTCTCCCTAAGTGAGATTTCCTTTTAGTGCTTCTACCTTGGGGAACCAAATGATAGATTGAAAGTGGACTTCCTACTAGCCAGGGACAAAAGACATCCTCAGATGGGGTGTTAAACCAAAGTAGCAAGCCCATTTTTTTAAGGATCAGGGCTAAAATTATTATAGAGGTGGCTGGAGTCTGCCCCACCAACTGTGAAGGGAATGAAGCAGTTGCAGGGTGCTTCTGTGCCAGAGAGTTTTACATTCCTGTATGATGAGACAGTGTTTTCCAAGTGTGGGCCTAGACCACCTGCATCAGGTAGTGTTTAAAATGCAGATCTCCTGTAATCCCGTGCCTTTGGGAGGCTGAGGTGAGTGGACTGCCTGAGCCGTTGGAGACCTGCCTGGGTAACTTGGCGAGACCTCATCTCTACAATAAATCAAAAAATTAGCTGGGCGTGGTAGCGCACGCCTGTAGTTCCAGCTACTTGGAAGGCTGAGGTGGAAGGATCGCGGAGCCCAGCAGGTCAAGGCTGCGGTGACCGAGAGTGGCCACTGCACTCCAGTCTGGGTGTCAGAGTGAGACTCCAACTCAAAATAAATAAATAAAAATGAAATGCAGATCTCAAGGTGTCATCCAGAAGACTCTGATACAGTAGGTCTGAGATGGGGCCCAGAAGTCTGCGTGTTTAACAAACACCCCAGGAGATGCAGATTGAAAGACCACCCTTAGAGATACACTGCCTTGGAGATCATTGTTCCATTTAAAGTGAAGGGTCTCATTCCCTGCAGATGCCATTGTCTCAGAGCTTTTGTTTTCCATGGA